TCTGGGATAACTCTGGGATAATTTGGGATAATTTATGATAACTTTAAGATAATTTATGCTAACTTTGGGATAATTTTGGGTATTTTCTGTCCCCCCAGAGGCAGCAGTGGCTGCGGCAGGCCGTGTCCCAGGCCCTGGCCGGGCCCGGCGCCGCCCGGGCTGAGCTGCAGCGCTGCCTGCGGCTGCTGGCCCAGCCCTGCCCCGGCCAGGCCGCGGCCGAGAGCGGCCGGGGGGACAGCGGGGAACACGAGGAGGCGCTGGCCGAGCTGGCCGAGCTCTGCGAGAGCCTGGACAATGCCACGGGTGAGATGGGGTCACTCACTGGTCACTCTGGGGTCATTGGGGTCACTCACTGGTCACTCTGGGGTCATTGGGGTCACTGGGACACGAGGAGGCACTGGCCGAGCTGGCCGAGCTCTGCGAGAGCCTGGACAATGCTATGGGTGAGATGGGGTCACTCACTGGTCACTCACTGGTCACTCACTGGTCACTCTGGGGTCATTGGGTCACTCACTGGTCACTCTGGGGTCATTGGGGTCACTCTGGGGTCACTCTGGGGTCACTGGGGTCACTGGGGTCACTGGGACACGAGGAGGCGCTGGCCGAGCTGGCCGAGCTCTGCGAGAGCCTGGACAACGCCACCGGTGAGCCACTGGTCACTCTGGGGTCACTCTGGGGTCATTGGGGTCACTGGGACACAAGGAGGCGCTGGCCGAGCTGGCCGAGCTCTGCGAGAGCCTGGACAATGCCACGGGTGAGATGGGGTCACTCTGGGGTCATTGGGGTCACTCACTGGTCACTCTGGGGTCATTGGGGTCACTGGGACACGAGGAGGCGCTGGCCGAGCTGGCCGAGCTCTGCGAGAGCCTGGACAACGCTACGGGTGAGCCACTGGTCACTCACTGGTCACTCTGGGGTCATTGGGTCACTCTGGGGTCACTGGGACACGAGGAGGCGCTGGCCGAGCTGGCCGAGCTCTGCGAGAGCCTGGACAATGCTACAGGTGAGCCACTGGTCACTCACTGGTCACTCTGGGGTCATTGGGTCACTCACTGGTCACTCTGGGGTCATTGGGGTCACTCACTGGTCACTCTGGGGTCACTCTGGGGTCATTGGGGTCACTCACTGGTCACTCTGGGGTCATTGGGGTCACTCACTGGTCACTCGGGGTCATTGGGGTCACTCAGGGGTCACTGGTCACTCTGGGGTCACTCACTGGTCACTCACTGGTCACTCACTGGTCACTCAGGGGTCACTCTGGGGTCATTTGGTCACTCAGGGCTTTGGCACTGCTGGGCTCGTTTGGGGCTGGATTTTGGGTTGTTTTCTGAGGGATTTCTGCCATTTTTAACCCTTTAAACCCCATTTTTTCCCATTTTAACCCATTTTTTCCCATTTTAACCCGTTTTTTCCCGTTTTCTCCCCTTTTCTCCCCAGATTTCTGCTCCCTCGGGGGCCTGGAGGTGCTGCGGGCGCTGCTGGGCTCATTTGGGGCTGGATTTTGGGTTCTTTTCTGAGGGATTTCTGCCATTTTTAAGCCTTTAAACCCCGTTTTTTCCCATTTTTAACCCTTTAAACCCCGTTTTTCCCATTTTTAACCCGTTTTCTCCCGTTTTCTCCCCAGATTTCTGCTCCCTGGGCGGGCTGGAGGTGCTGCGGGCGCTGCTGGGCTCGTTTGGGGCTGGATTTTGGGTTCTTTTCTGAGGGATTTGTGCCATTTTAACCCCATTTTTAACCCTTTAAACCCCGTTTTTTCCCATTTTTTCCCGTTTTTTCCCATTTTTAACCCGTTTTCTCCCCTTTTCTCCCCAGATTTCTGCTCCCTGGGCGGGCTGGAGCTGCTGCGGGCGCTGCTGGGGCACGGCCGGGCGCCGCTGCGGGCGGGCGCCGCGCGGGCGCTGGGCGCCTGCGCCCAGAACCTGCCGGGGGCCCAG